ATGCCATCCAGCAGAAGCTGAATCTCTCACAGCAGCTTGAGGCTTGGCAGGTAAGCAGGAGCTGGGGCCTAGTGGCGAGTGCATGAAACATCTCTGAACCAGAATCTGTAAGGGGAGTTTTGGCAAGAGGTCCCAGGAGCTTCCACTTTCACCCCAGGGAAGAATGCCTTATAGTGGCCTCGAGACAGAAAGCTCAGACAGCCTCTGTTGGGAACATGCTACCACCAGACACAGAGTGGGCCTCCCTCAACTGCTCATCCTGGTTTCTTTTAAACTAAGGTTGGGGCCAGGAAGCCCCATGTGACTGAATGAAAATTCAGAGCTGGGCGCAGCTCAGCAGTCCTCAGGCAGTTGCTGCAGCTTCCCTTTCCCATGGGCACTGTCAGACACAGGTCCAGGAGAAAGTGAGTCAGTGTGGCTAGCTCTGGGACCACCGTTTTCAGGGTCTCCTGGCTCCCTGCTGCCCGGGGCTCTGACTCTTGGATGAGGCTGTGTAGGCTGATGTCAGAATGTGGGTCTACTGGTCAGTGTCTCTCTTGAGATGGAAACTCACCTGTCACTGAGCCCCACAGGCAGGCAGAATAGTGGTGATCATCACACGGTGGCTCTGTGGGATTGGCAACCAGTCTTGACGACACCATCAGGTCACTGGCTCCCTGGCTCCTACCAGCAGCCAGCTAGCCAGAACCCTGGCTTACCACAGCTGTTCTCTCTTCTCTCCCAACTGCAGTTTGCTTCCTCAGGGCTTTTTACTATCTGGCTCCTTTGGTTTCTGATCTAGTGGCCTTTCTCAGTTCCTGTACCAACAGCTTTAGTTGTACACCCCTCCTGCCTTTGAGGTGAGATTGAACCTTGTGTCCATTCATCCGTTCCCCTCTGCCATCTCTGTTCTGTATCTGCCACCTCCCCATGGCTCACTGTGTTCTGTGTTCCAGAACTTGGCCTCATCTCTGTGCAGTGTGACGTGCCATTGAGCCCCAGCCTCCTTTCCCCCATCAGTGCTATGAGTTTGGCAGTTCTGGCAGGCTGATGCCAGCTTATCATAGATGGATTTTTACCATAAGAATAGCAGCAGTCATGGGATTATGACCAGCTCGTGCACATGTGTGGGTGCATGTGTAAAGTTCTAAGGAGATGTGTTCCATAGAATTCGCTTGATGAATTTGGTTACTTAAAGTATAAAAATGCAGTTTGCAGTGACTGTGCCAGAGAAAAACATGACAGCATTGGAAGGACTTCTTTTTAAAGGTCTCCTGACTTTTCTCTCTGGTCGTGAACAATATATTTTATTGAATTTGTCCTGAGTGTAGAGTACTGTGCTAAGATTCCACACTGAGACTTTAGAAGTAGGAGCCATATGCTTTGTGCTGGCAAAAATGACACAGGGTTTAATCTGAAAGGCAAATGGAAAATCAGGCTGGCAGGGAAAGGATGAAGAGGAGGAGGAGAGCCGGGGAGGACACTGAGTGTGATGGAGGGCGAGAATGGGATGCCAGAGGCCAGTAAGGTCCTTTGCTTTTATTCTGAAACCTGAAGACATTCAGGTTGTACCCACAGATCAGAACTTGAATGAAACAGAGGTGACAGACAAGCTGGTGCAAGTGGGGCCAGGCTTTCCAGGTTTGTGCTCTCATCTCCTAAGTGGCTGCTCAGAGCCAGCCTTTCCCTGCTGCATGGAGCCCACCCACCCCAACCTGGTTTCACCTGTCACGTACTTAGATTCACGCCAGTGAGTCCCTAAGAGTTTGTCTTGGGGTCTTTTTGTCAGAACTTCACAGAGCTTACAGCTAAAAGCTGAAAGAGGCAGGAGGTGTGGTGTGTTTGCTTTCTGGTGGTGGGTTAGTAGCAGAGCCCATTGTCAGGTAGCGTCTTCCCACAGTAGTCAAAATCTAGTGACTAGAAGGGGCTGCTCAAAGTTGCTCTTGTGTGAAACAGGACAGGGTTACTTGTTCTGAGTAACCAGCTAATTAGAGGGGTAAGGTCCTTACCCCCATGAAGAAGCTAATAGAAGTAGGACTGAATTGGAACAAGACAGAGTCTCAACATTGCACACAGGTTTAGCTGTGTGAGTATGGCCAGAGAGGTGAAGGCAGTCTGAAACACAGCCACTACGTCTCATGTGTGGGTATTAGTGACTTAGCCTGAAAGTGATTTGAAGGGGGAAATTTGGACACAGGTAGCCTTTTGGGCCAGGTCATTGGACTAGTGACCTGACAAGCTAAGGTTGGTCTGAGCTGATGGGGTAGCAGGCCAGATCACAGGCATCTAGACAGCCCCATGAGCTAGTATGAGGGCTGTTCTGTTATTTAGGCCAGAAGACATTGGCTCAGATAGCGCTATATGGCATCTCTGTGTCCTGGCATGGTACCAACATTCACCACTTTCTTGGTCCACCAGCCCCAATTGCAGTGCTTGTTCATCTCATCCCTCATCTTCACCTGCCCTAACATCTGTCACTTCCCTGTCCAACCCCAGGGCCAGGTAAGACAGCTACTTACCCACATTCCCTCTCCCTCTCTGCAGGATGACATGCACAGGGTCATTGACAGGCAGCTGATGGACACGCACCTGAAGGAACAGAGCCGGCCTGCTGCTGCCTTCTCTAGAGGCCACGGCGTAGGACGGGGGCAGGAACCCAGCACCATGGATGGCAAACGGCTCTTCTCCTTCTTCAGGAAAATTTAAGTGGGGAGAAGTCAGGCTGTTGAGGATGGGGACTAGAGGCAGCTGAAAGGGTCTCCCGTCAACTGCAGCTGAGCAGCTGTACTGCCGGCCCGGCTGCCCTGGGACAAGTGGGTCTTGAGAACCCACTCCCTTTTGTCAGTGCAATGGAGACTGAGAAGTAGGGGACCTGCCTTGTCCTCTGAAAGCTGCTCCCTACCAAGGGACAGGAATGAACCCTGTCCCCACTGCCCAAGCCAAGCCTCAGCCTGGGCTTCCCCAGGATCCTGTAAGTGAGTAGGGCTCAAGTCACTTCCCATGCAGTCCATTGATGGGCTCTGCCACTCAGACCCAGCTGATCACAGCCCACACTAAAGGCTTTGCTGCCTCCTTGGATTTTGAACATGGGGACAGAGATTGAGGCCCTCCTGTGCATGCCTCAGGAGGCCTGAGCCTCCACTCCTGCCCCAGCTACTTGCCTGGAGTAAGGGGAGGCATAACCCCTCACCCATGTGCATGCCCTCTGCTGGAGTCCCTGTACAGCAGGAGCCCCAGCCTATGGCTGTGAGGCCTAAGAACTGGGTTACCCAAGCTCTGTTGAGGCCACTCTGTATCCCAGGGAAGGTCCTGTCTTCTGGCCGCCAGCACACCTCAGCTTCCTCCAGTGCAGGCAGCCCTTAACCCTAGTGAGGTCTGGGCCAGGCAGCATTCCCGCTGGCCCTCTATAGGCTCTAGCCTTCCAGACTTCCCCTCATGGGGTAGGGCTGGGAGAGCACTTGTCTTCCACAGCTCCCTCCCACCTCAAATACAATGGCCCAAGCCAACAAGTTGAGGTCACAAAATGGCCTCTAAGGGGACTAGTTTAACCTTACCCGCACACTGAAGGCAGCGTGGGTGCCACAGGGTGGATGGGGTAAGGCTGCTGGGAGCTTCCAGATACTGCCCACCAGGCCTACAAGGGACATGGCCTGCAGCCTGCTGCTTCTGCTCCTTCTGCAGCGACTACCCCATCTCTGCTGAGGCCCCAGCTCAGAGGCTCTGTGGGCCCAGCCTGCAGCTGCTTACCACTCCCTAAGCCTCCTGTCCTCAATGGGGAAAAGCACAGCAGGGCTGAGCAGAAAGAATGTACTTATAGATATGTACATACCACAGTGCTGTAATTTTGTATGTAGCAATTGTGTAAATACACGTATGGATTTTATAATACACATATATAAATCTATAAAGGCATATTTTTAGAAAAACAGCGCACCACTGCTTCTTTTGAAAATAGTCTGAATAAGAATAAAATGAATTTCTACAGAACTCCTGCCTCAGTTCCTGGGTATTTGGAAGGTTACATTGTTACAAACATGACTTGTGTGTCAAAAGCCACCACGGGCTGCTGCTGCTGCTATAGAGGGATTACTTGTGAAGGTGGCGGCATCTTGCCCCATACCCTCTTGTTTAGCATAGCAGAAACTTCTAGCTGAAAACGCTCACTCAAAGCAAAAGCTTCCGCTGCATCCTTCGGCATGTGAAGAATAAACATGGAGCTTCCCCTGTCACGCTCCCACATGTGTTCTGGGCCCCATCCGTGGAGAACACAGACTTGCCCCGACAGTTTCCCGGGGCCCTCAATGGGCACCTATGCAGCACCAGAGATTAACAAAAAAGCAAAAGCTGGACCTAATAATGGAAGCAGCCAGGTACCCAGAGCACAGGTGGAGGACAGCAAGTAGACCCTGGAGAGAAACTTGGCAGCTTGAACCTTTATTTTTAGTATTTTTTTTTAAAAAGCATAATTAGAAACTTTCAATACAGAAATAATCCTAGCAAACCTTTAAAAGTTTGTTGGTTGACAGGAGTTTCACATCAGGTCCACCAGGATACCAGTTTAGCCCTGAGCCCCCTACCCCCACCCTTACCCCTACCCCACCCCACTCATGCATGTAACACTCTGTGGGACAGGCACACTGTTGTCACCAAAATCACCCATCACCTGGGCCTTAACAGGCCAGAAGCCACAGAGACACCATACTTAGGCCTGATGCTCCAAGATCACCCTCTTATTGCTTGAATTGGCAAAACACCTTCACACTGGTTCCCACATGCTTAGAAGCGTGTGACACCTTCTGCCCACCCCACCCCCCTCCGTCAGCCAAGACAGTCCTAAAAACAATCTGCCTCAACTCCCAGCTCACCTGGATCAGATGGAGCCACGTACTGCTTGGCCCTGAAGTGTCCTCCACAGCACCTACCTTCCTAGGCCCACAGCCCCAACACAGTCTGAAGCTCAGAAACACAGGCCTGTCGCACAGAACCCCAGCTTTGACGGTTTGGACAAGTGGAGAGACAGGTGAGAAGAAAGCCCCAGTTTTATTGATTAAAAACCCATCCACAGTGTTACCATGGAAAATCTGCAGTAATCTGTGATGATTGTCCAGTCAGGACTGTGCCTGGAAATTGCCTTGGAAAGAAAATCTAATAAAACGCATTACGGTGTCCAATCAGTTCTTCCCAATTACATGATCCTTTAGGGGAAAGGGAACCAAACGTCTGAGGAAGTGGGGGGGAGGTAATCAAATGTAGATTACCCTGGTTTTTACTCCAGGGGACTGGGGTAGGTGGGTCAATACTAGCTGCCCCACCCCACTGCCACTTCTTCCCAGTGGCTAAGAAATCTTCCTACCATCTTCATACTAAAACAGGTCTGTCAGTAATGCAAAGCTGCCTATGCTAGCCTGGAGGTGTCGTCTCATGGTCCAGCAATTCCTGCAAGTGCCAGAGGTGCCTGGTGTTACCTGAGAAACTAGCTCCAGTGAGAGGCCCTTGCATACACAGAACAAGGGTGCAAAGCCCACCTTTTCCCATGAAAGGGAAAGAGCCTAGCCCACAATGAACAGAAGCCATACACCTTTTCTAAAAATACTAAACCAAAGTGGGACAATTCACAACTTTTGCTATTGAGCCAATCAAGTCTCAAGGAAATAACTGGGGAAATTAATTCATTTGATTTGGCTTCATTTGGCTTTATATTAATGATCCCCTTGCAAGCTCGATCTCTGAACAAAGGTACCCAGGCTACCTTTCTGCTGGTACTGAAACACGTTGGGTAAGTGAGAAGCCACGGCTCCCCTAGGTTTGTAGCAGAGGTATCTGGAAGGCAGAATGAGAAACCTGTTGGCTAAAAGGGCAGAACTGACTTTCTCTGTGGCCTAGGGCCAGCCAAGGGCAGGGCCTGTGTGGACGCCAGGTTCCCCAGCTCCCAGAGCAGCTGTGGGGCAAGACCCATGTAGAGTGCACTCCATGGGCCCAGGCTGGCCAAAGACTCAGCTAGGACATGAGACTGGCTCCTCAGGAAGCTGCCGTCGAGATGGGATAGGAGGGCTCGGGAGGGTCTGTTGCAGCAGGTTGGCAGGAAGGAGGCAAAAGCCAGAGCAGGCTGAGGGTGTGCAGCTGGTTAATGCAATATACACTATGTACAAACTGGTTAATCAGTCCACTCAGCTGGCAGCGTCCTCACCAGGTCCAGGCGCCTCAGCAGGGAGATCGGCACCAGTGGGGAAGGGCAGGCTCGTCCAACACCTTCTTGGCACTCAAGGGGAAAGGGGCAGGAAGTGCCGATGGCGCCTCCCAGTACAAAAACGTGGAGAGAATTCTTTAAATAACGGCACTAAACTGAGACTGTCCCCCGAGGAGCCTCCAGAGCCTCGGGCTGGGAGGGATGCAGTTGCAGTCTCTGCAGTGGGCTGGGGCATTAGCAGCAGCGTTTCTTTCGTTTACTGTTTTTCGTGAGCTTCACCACATCGTTCTGTTGCTGCTGCTGCTGTTTCGCCAAGTTGTCTTTCTTTGCTCGTAGAACCAGCTCTGTGATACAGTTGAACATCTGGAGATGACAGGGCAAGGCTGAGCTGAGACCTATGCAGAGCCCCTGCTGGCCAGCACAGGCCACTTTCCATTCCTCTAGGAACTGTATGTATGTTCTTAAAACGTGCGTGCGCTCACTATGACGACAGCCCAACCTGGCTAAACCCGCAATTCTCTTCCCTCTGCCTCCCCAGTGCCAGGGTTCCAGATGTGTACTGTGTGCCCTCAGAACACACTCCAGGACAGTGTTCTCAGCTTTCCTAATGCTGCAGTCCTTTAGTACAGTTAGTTCCTCATATTGTGCTGACCCCAACCATAAAATTATTTTTATTGCTACTTCAGAACTGTAATTTTGCTACTGTTATAAGTCATATTGTAAATATCTGATATACAGGATATATGATATGTGACCCCTGTGAAAGGGTCATTCGACCCCCAAAGAGGTCATGACCCACAGGTTGAGAATTGCTACTTTAGGAGGAGGTGGTGGAAAAGACCACAGCTGTCTTGGGGAAGTCAATCCCTGGGGTGTTTCCAGTCTCTTCTCCTGAATGTGGGTATGTGCAGGTGAGCGCAGACCCATGGAAGCCAGAATCCACTCCCACGGAGGTTGGGTTACAGGCAGTTACGAGCTGCCTGGCATAGGTGCTGGGAACTGAGCTCAGGCCCTCTGGGAGAGCACAAAATCTTAATCACCAGGTCATCTTTTCAGTCCTTTTAGTACAGAGGAAGAATCAACCAGAACCTCTGAAGAGACAAGAGTATGCTGCTCTGCATACAGATGCAAGGACGCACAGGCTGTCCATCTCACTGCACCTGGAGCCAGACAACCCTGACTACCAATGTCGTGCCGCCAGGACCAAGGGTGCTAAGGCAGCTACCAAGCCACAGGGATAAAAAAGCTGAACTAGGGGCTCAGACATCCTGAAACCAGCGGTGAGATGACTCGGTGCTTAAGAGCACGGACTGTGCCATCACGCAGACCAGGGGTTGGTCACAGCACCCCCATTACAAGCTGGGCCCGACAAGCACCTCTCTAGCTCCATGGCATCTGATGCCCTCTTCTGGAACCTGCACAGGCAAACGGCATACACTTGCACACAAATATTTTTATAAAAGAGCTGAGCTCAACATCTCCATCTACTGAGCAAGCACAGCTGACTCGCTCGATCATCACAGCCTGGAGAACAGCGCTCACTCCCTGTGCACAGATGAACAAGTGAATTACCAGGAGGGAAGTCCCACATGAGTCTGGCTCTGAGGCTCTGTGTTCCCAATGCAGTGGGAACCCAACTTCCCTGGCACCTCTAGACTCCTCTGAGGCCAGTAAATAGGCCAAGTGGGGCTTGTGCCAAAAGTTCTAGCTTTTCTCCCTCAGAATCACAACTGCTCTTCAAGGTGCCGCTACAAGTGAAGAAGAGGCCTCCAGGGTGGATGTTCTACCCAGGAACCCCAGGAACAGGCGCCCACTTGTGCTCAGAGGTCAGGAAAGCAACCAAGAGACAGGGAAGAGGTGGTCGTGATGGGCTCAAGGGAGGGCCACCAGGAAGCAGCTGGAATAGGAACTGCATGGCTTTGAGGTAGGAAGGATCTGGACTTGACGTCACCTCTCACTAGTTGATTCTTAAGGTTATTCAGTAAGAGGAACTTCAGTTTTCTTCCGTGAAATACAGGATCCTACCTCAGAGGACAGCTGAGCAAAGAGCTAAGACTTTTAAAGGGCCTGCACAGCAGCAGCCAATAGTGGGCATTAAATAACGTGGTCACTCAGATGCATGAGCAGGCCTGGCGTGGGGAGTCTTGGTAGAGAAGTGAGCTCAGCAGAAAGCTCATGGTCCTCACCTGCCCCTAGCCCAGGGATCAGCATAGCTTACCTCTTCCACATTGCAATTCTCCTTGGCACTGGTCTCAAAGAGCTGGATCCCCATCTGCCCAGCAAATTTGTAGGCATCTTCCGTCTCTACCACCTTCCGCTCAGGGTCGTCATTCTTATTGCCCACTTTAAGACAAAGCACAGTTAACCGCCTGCAAGAGCACCAGGTGTTGCTCTCCCACCGTCCCTACCCTCGGGGTCCAGCCTCACCTAATATTCGGCACACATCGTCACAGTTCTGGTTGATTTCATGAAGCCACCGCTTGACATTGACAAAGGACTCAGCACTAGTGACGTCGTAAACCACAATGACCCCATGGGTCCCCCGATAATACCTGTAGGGCCAAGATGTGCATCAGGGTTTTGGCCAAGGACAGAGAAGCTGCTTCCCTGGGACCCGCTTGCTATAGGACAGTGGCCGGGGAAGGTGAGGGTGCCCAGGGTTAGGGCAGCCCTGCACCCAGTCTCGTCCACCAGCCAGAGCCAAGCTTGATCAGCAGGGCAGCACTGGCTTCACTGGCCTGCCCCTGGCAGCATTGGTGGAGGCTGGTAACAGTCTGAGGTGTACCAGGCCTGAACAGTCACCCAGGTGACTAGGTGTACCACCAGCTGGAAGCTTCTTTGAAGTTCAGGCAGTTTTCGTGTTTGACATCATGTTATCATGTTATCGCCATCCTAGTGATAATTCAGTTTCAAATCTTGGTAGAAAAATGGCATTCCTAGAGGCTGCACATTACAAGAAACCATGGCAAAATGTGTCCCTTTTCCCTGGCGAACAGGTGACACTTCTTTTCCTACTCTTGGCTCACTGTACCAGGGAAGTAGAACGCAGAGGCTGCACAGGCCTCCAGCAGCTGTAGGAAGAACTCAACCAAGCCTGCAGACCCCAGACCAGCCCAAAGGTCTGAAAGGAAGGATGGTGCCATCATTCCCCTCTGAACATCTGCTGCACAGAAAGCCAGACAGCACCAACCCTGAAGCAGGCCAGAGGCCATGCCACACCCTTGGCCCCACTCTACATAACCGCCCGGGCTGTTTCTCCGAACCTTCTGCTTTTGATCACTAAGGTCTTAGAACACCTAGACTACAAACCCCGAGGGCAGGCTGCCTCCCATTCTTCCCCAGCCTGGGTCCCACGATGGCTACACCAGGATCCACAGGATCCAGACTGGTAGGAGGCACCCAGCCGTCTAGTCACCTCTCTGAGGTCAGACCTATCTCTCTGAAAGCTGTGAACTGTAGAACGGTTACTTGGTTGTGAGGAAGAGGAGCTAACAGACGCCACCCCGAGGCTGGAGCACTGAGACAGCTCCGGTGCTCTTTATCATCAGGACTAGTGCTCCTTCATAGCAATCTGGAGTCCCAGATGAAGGTGGCAGAACCAAGAGTGGGTGGGCAGGGCAGAGCACCAGGGCCCTGCTATACTGCTGCCCAAGCATCTGTCCACCCCTCAGATGGAGTGGAGCCTGCCCAGGACTCGTCCCAAGGCTGTGAGCCTTCTTGGTTTTGAGGGAGCCTGACAGCTCCACTATCGCAGCTCAGGACCCTGAACCTGGCCTTGGTCTCCTAGTGAACTGCTGCCCTGAGCCCTGGCTCAGGACTCAGGACAGCTGGGTGGATGTGTCTGGGGCAGGTGTGGGAATCGTGTGTACAGAAGACCGTCCTGCAGCGGAATGCCTCTGGAGCCTTTCCTTTGCTGCAGACACCAGGAAACAGCCCACCACTGCCCTAGCTCCTGCTGTCCAGGGGTGGCCCAGATCTCTGGCTAGTGAGATGACACAAGGGCTCCCAGTCTTCCCACCCAAGTGTCTCACATCCACTTGTCCCAACTAGGCAGCAGGGCAGCGTGACAGCCACTTAGTCCAGTGGCCAGCTGCAGCCTCAGCACCCAGGCCTGCTTCCTAGGCCAGTGCAAGGCCTCATCCTTCTTGCTCCTCCCTCTCTTCTCCCACAGCCACCCGAGGATTAGAAATCTCCTCAGGAAGGGTTAAGACTGGGGCATAGTAAAAGGGCTCCTTTAGCAGATACACAGGTTACAATCATTCCCACTCCTACACAGACTGCCACACCTCCAAAACATTCAACCATCTCACGACCCTCCCTTCACCAGCTGCTGTCACAGGGTGATTAGTCTCCTCACGGCCCCCTTGGCAGGCCCCAAAGTACCTTCTGCCTCAGAATGGACCCAGCCTAAAACCCTGAGGTTAGCAAGGCTAACCCTGGTTTTTCCAAACATACAGGCAGACAGAACACAACCCTGTGCCTCGGGAGTTCTGAGCTATGGCACTCAAATCCACCACAGAAGAGACAGTACAAACACACACATCATCCTAACCCTCAGGTGAGTAGCCCTGTGCTTCCTCGGCCACACTCACAGCCTCAGAGGAAACCTAGGACTCAGAATGGCCACCTATGCTTTCACAATAGAACTGGAAACATACCACTAAATCCAGAACTGTTATGTAAGAAGGCCTGGGACGTGTCCACAGAGACCACCCTGCATGCACTACAACATGGAACCCACTTCTCAGAAGCACCTTTAGCTGGGAGAGATGGTACATGCCTTTTCCAGCAGAAACAGGTCTATATCTGGGAGTTTGAGAGCAGCCACGGCTACACAGTGAAACCTGTCTCAGAAACATACACAGACACACCTTTATCTGTAAAATGGGCTAACAGCAGCATAGCACACAGAAAGTCAGAAGCGGCCCATGAAAATGCCAGGGCAGGAGTCCTGGACTCAAGCCTTAGCACTCAGGGAAATCCTACATAAGAATCTCTGGGACACAGGCACAGACATTAGGCAGCTCGCCCAAGGACACACATAACAGAAATTTAAATTCCACAGTTTCACAAACACCTAAGAACTATGTCTCTACAAGACTCAACACTGGAGGAGTTTCCTCCTTGGGCAGCTGAGTTCCACAAAGGCGCTACAAAGGTGACATGCTAGACAATGGATTTCCCAGCTAACAGATTGGGGGTGCAGAAGAAGGGCCCACATACCCATGGTCTTCCAGGCCTCCAAAGAGAGAGAGTCACCTCTGAGCAGTCACACAGAACTGACACCCTCCAAGAATTGTCAGTGGTTCGCTGGGCACCACTGTCACTACTACCCAGTGTGGCAAACACTGACACTATCGCCACCTGAAGAGAAAGGAGCTGCCAGCAAGTAGAACTAAGCACCCACGAGGACAGCACAGTCTAGATCATGCCAGATGCTCAAACACCGCAGATCCCTAGCCCTGTGGCTACCGCAGCACGTCATAGCCTTCTCTGTATCTTCAGGGAAGGAAGGCACAGCTACTACCACCCACGGAGGCCAGAAACCACCCAGCCCTACTTCCTCACATGCAGTGACATTTCTAACACACATTTCTATTCAACACTGACACTCAGCTTCGTGCAAACATCAAGGCACATGGTCCGAGGAACTCACGTAGAGGTGATGGTGCGGAAGCGCTCCTGCCCCGCTGTGTCCCAGATCTGCAGCTTCACCTTCTCCCCGTTGATCTCCACAGTCCGAATCTTGAAATCCACTCCAATTGTGGTGATGTAGCTGCCTGTACGAATGTAGCCCATTACTCAGGGTAGGGAACCCAAAACCCCATCCCGCTCCACTGTATGTTCCCCACAGTCAAGGCCCTAAGGACAGAGACCTCAACAAAGGGGGCACACCTGCTCTAATAGGCCCAGTGCAGGTGACACAGGACACAGTGACACAAGTAAAAAGACCCCTTCAGAAGTACATGTTACCAGTGAGATTAAAAAGGGAAGTGACTGGGGAAAGAGGTGGGCTTTATTGGAAAGGCGGCGTAGGGACATGTTGGCTGTGACTGGAGGACAGGGCAGACCTATTCATCCTGGTTTCTCTTTATTGTCGTGTGTGTGTGTGTATGTATGTTGGAGGAGGGGAGTGAGGACCCAACACTGCACCTTCCCAGGGAGATGGTGAGTTTGGGGTGGGAGGAGTCAGGGCCAGTCCTCCAGTCCTTCGTGCTATTACTGAGAATTTGTACTGTTGCGTGTGGTGACAGCTGGGCAGTGAGTTTTCACCAGGGCACAAGATGCTTTGGAAATTGCTCTTAAGATATCCGTGTGGAAGATGCATTAAGAGCAGCTGCCGACTTCTTCAGTACATATGGTGCAGGTTTACAAACGCCTGCCTCAAAGCATCATTTTAGCCCGGAACATACCAAGAACTCTTTCAAAAGATAGACACAGACGACCGTGTGAAGTGTGGCAAGGGCATGGGAAAGGGCAAAGTTCAAGGTGAGACAGAAATGGAAGCAGGACGTTAGCAAGAAAGCTTAGCAAAGGTGGTGAGGAGGAGTGACAGCCCACAGCGGGGCGAGCACCCGAATCCAGGTCAGCGTCTGGTACCTCCAGGGCCAACGGCTCCTCACACGTGAGCAAGCAAAGCAAAACAGAGTCAACACACATCACAAGAAGAAAGCTAGAGACAGGTTCTGAAGACCAGTGCTTCTCAACCAGGGTGGCTTTGTTTCGAGGCCATGGAGACAGTGTAGGCTGTCATAGTACAACTGACATTAGTGGGTAGATCTGGTCCACACCCCAACAGAAGGCCTGGGTTCAACTCTCAGCACCCACATGGAAACTCGCAAGCATAGACATACATGCAGATAAACCCCAGAAACAGCCAAAGAGAAAAAGAACCAAGGAGCGAAGATGGCCATTGCTTCCTTGAAAAGCAATGTGGGCACTGGTGAAGCGGCTCAGATGGAAAGGTCTTGCTGCGAAGCAAGATGACCTGAGTTCAATCTCACATGACGGAAGGAGAAAATCAACTCCCCACTGTCCTCTGACCTATACATACCATGGTGGTATCTGAGTAAGAATGGTCCCCACAGGCTCACATATTTGAATGTTTAGTCACCAGGGAGTGGAACTATTTGAAAAGATTTCAAGGATGAGGAGGTGTGGCCTTGCTGGAAGAAATGTATCACTGGGAGTTTCAAAAGTCCCTGCCAGGCATGGGCTCACTGGCGCTGTTAGCCTGGGGATCAGGATATAGCCTTCAGCCACTCATCAGCACGGTGCAGGCCACCAAGTTCCCTGCCACGATGATAAACTAAACCTGAAACTGGAAACTAAGCCCCCAATTAAATACTTTCTTTTCATAAAAGTTGCGATGATCATGGTGTCTCTTCACAGCAGCAGAACAGTAATTAAGACACATGGCATGTCCCCTTTCCCTCAGTTTCAGTTCAATACGGGTTTTGTTTCTCTGTGTATCAACCCTGGCTGTCCTGGAACTCACACTGTAGACCAGGTTCACCTCTAACTCAAGATCCACCTGTGGCTGCCTCCCATGTGCTAAGATTAAAGACATGTACCACTACCTCCTAGCATAAATAGAAGGGTTTTTTTTTCTTTTTTTAAAATTTATTTATTATGTATATAGTGTTCTGGGCACCAGATCTCATTACAGATGGCTGTGAGCCACCATGTGGTTGCTGGGAATTGAACTCAGGACCTCCGGAATAGCAGTCAGTTCTCTCAACCTCTGAGCCATCTCTCCAGCCCAATAGAAGTTTTTTGTTGTTGATGTTGGTTTGTTTTTTGTTTGGTTTTTTTTTTGGGGGGGGGGGTGCTGTCCTGGAACTAGCTCTTCTAGACCATGCTGGCCTTGAACTCACAGAGATCCGCCTACTTCTGCCTCCGGGAGTGCTGGGATTAAAGGTGTAGGCCACCTCCAGTACCAAGGAAAGTGTAAACACCCTTAGACCCTGTGACCCAGTGACCTCATCTCGGTTCGTACAAGAAGAAACAATGTATCCCAGAAATGCAGCATTGATTAAAACAGAAGCAACCAGAAGCCACATGTCCTGAGCGGTTAGTGAAGGTCAGAGCATCCCCACAGAAGCAACCTTCCCAGCCATTACAGAACAAAAGGAAGTCTGGGCACCGCAGCATATATGCCTTCAATCCCACTACTTGGTAAGTGGATCTTTGTGAGTTCAAGACCAACCTGGTCTACATAGCAAGTTCTAGGCCAAGCCAGAGATTCATAGGAGACAACATCGTCTAAGAACAATCAGAAACAGGGTGGAGGTTTGTGCACAGTGAGGCCGGATCAGGGAAAGACACCCACACCCCGAACAGACGCTCCAGGGCAGCAGAGGACAGTGCGGGACAACTGTCATTCTTAACATTACAGACATTTTCCTTAAACTCCTAAATGTGGGGCACAAATAGACCCTCAGTAGGAAAGTGAGGACCAGCAGGAGCTTCTCACTTAAGCCTCCGACCCCACTTTCTCTCATCCAACAACCTGAATGGTAAAGTCTCCTGCATCAGACAGAAGCAGGTAGGCTCTGGAAAGGGTAGGAGATTTCAAAATCAAAGCACCCAATAGCACCCAGGAGGACTCACCTGAGAAGGTGTTGTCTGCAAATCGTAACAGCAAGCTGCTCTTGCCCACACCTGCAGGAGAGAAGGCATGGGGATGAGGAGGGAGGGGCCTCCCTTCAGCCCACCCTTCCTAAGGAGCCCAGAGGGGCTAAAGTCTTCAAGGCCGACCCATTTCCCCACACACCAACAACATTTCTTCCAGTAAATCGCTGACCTTTTCCTTGGTCCTCATGTAAGACAAGCAGCTCTCAAATCCTCTGGGGGAGATGACAGAGGGACTCATGCCCAGGCCCTGTTCTGAGGGCTGCCCCAGACAACAGAGACAAGCAAGAGGAAGGTCAACCAAATGAGACCAGTCCACCTGCATCCTCAGCAAGGTCCTCAGAAAACCTCACGTTCCCTCAGTTGGAAAAGAAATGGAAAGCTGGGAAAGAGCCCTTGGCTTGCATGTGAAGAAACTCAGGCCACATGACCAGAACCAACTGTCAGTCATCTACCCCGCCAAGTCAGTATGGCTGAATGAGTGAAGCAGGGGTGTTGTGGGATATTGGTACAGTGTGAAGATGCACTGCTGTGATTGGTTTAATAAAAAGAGCTGAACAGCCAATAGCTAGGCAGGAGGTATAGGCAGGATCTGGGCAGAGAGAAAGGAAGTAGGAAGCGGAATCTAGGCACAAGGGAGAGTGGCCGGTCAGTACTAGAAGCAGCAGAATGGGCAGCACAGAGATGAGGTAGTGAGCTACACAATGGAACATAGATTTAAAAGTATAGGTTAACTTAAGTTATAAGAACTAGTAAAGAACAAACCCTAAGCTAAGGTCAACCTTTCATAATTATTAAATAGTAAGTCTCCACGTCGTTATCTGTGAGCTGGTGGCCCAAAGAAAAATGCATCATACAGGGAATCCGCTGGACACCTACTTGGCTACCACCCATGGGTGCTTGGACCACTGCATTTGCCACAGCAGCTCCTGGCTGTGCCTTAAGAACCTAGCTTTCCCTTGACACATGTGGCTTTGATTGGCCGATGAACCTACCTGCCTCCTGTCCTCCTGTCCCCATTATCCAGAAGTGGCTATATCAATGAATGAATGATTAACACACACTCAGGTCTGCATGGCTGTTCATGATGCTCCCAGAATTCAAACTGTGTCTCCTCAGATAAGGAAACCAGGGCTTGGAGAATGACCTAATATGCCTCCAAAGAAGACCAGACACAGATTTAAATCCAGGCCTGTCAAGCACCTCTGGACACCTCTCTCTGCTAGTGTCCTGACAGGCTTGTTTGCTTGCTCCTTCCCTCCTCCTCCTATTTTCTGGGAGGAGTGGGTGGGTATCATGTAGACAGGGTATCATGTAGCCCAGGCCAGACTTGAACTCACAACGTAGCACAGGATGGCCTTGAATCTCATTCTTTTGCCTCCACCTCCCAAATGCTGGGGTTATAGGTGGGCTAGGGATTGAACCCAGGGCTACGTGCATGCGAAGCAAAAACTCTACCACCTGAGCTATAGTCCCAGCCCTTGATGTGGGCACTTTCAGACCGCTTAGTAGGAATGCAAATGACTTCAGTTTCTTTGAAAAGCAATCTGACAATACCAAGAAAAATGTAAAAGCCCCAGCCCCTGAGATCTAGTCGCCTCACTTCTCCAGAACTGGGCACAAGAACAAACACAATGTATCCAGTAATGAGGAGACTTTAAACTGAAGCAGCCAGAAGCCATCCTTTCTGCTCTACTCTAATGGAAATGCCTTCAAAGGTGCCAGATCCGAACCCAGGACCCCATAATGTCTCAATTATGACTGAATGACTGAAAGCAAGCTGTAAGGAGATGTGCCTATCATGAGAAACCCACGGTTTGACTCCAATTCTCAAAGATAACATTGCTCCAACCCCAACCAAGACTGCACACCACTGCCGTGGACTGAGACACACAGCTGCTCTCTAACCCACCCAGCCATCCTCTCCAGGCCATCCCGGGGAGAAGGCTGCCAGGGACACCCAGAAGAGCTTGCTTCTCTCAGTCCACCTGGGTTCTACCTTCCCAAGAGGGGAAGGGCCTGCTCCTGAGCGCACAGCTGAAGCATGAGGGCGCCAGCCGCTCAGCCTCCAGCTTACGGGGCTCTTGCTCAGCACCACTTCCTCATTGTTCCGCCATGAGGCTTCCTGCTAAACCCAAGGAGAGCCCAAGTTCTGGGTTGGTCCTCATGGTGTTCTGCCTGATACTAACACCCCATTGGCCCTGAGGCCTCCTCTGCTTCCTCCCGAAGCCTTCTAGATCCAGCTTACTCAGCTAAAAGCTCCTGTCTGGTCACTAAGCAGTAAGTTCCTTAAGCACTAAGGAACCTCACCTCCTTCATCCGTTCAGTGCTATGAGCTGAGTCCAGCACTTAACAGCTACCAACTGAACAGCCTCCACAAACTGAGGGCTCAACACTATCAGTCTCAGTGAGAGTCACGGAACACCATGCTACCACAGCAGCATCACCAGGTCCCATGAAGCAGCTTTCAAACTCTAGGGGCAGGAGTCAGCAGAATCCTTCTTTTTTCCCTTAGAGTCTGACTGACCTGGAACTATCCAATGTAGATAGATACTCCAGTCACCTGCCTGTGCCTACCAAGTGCTGGGATGAAAGATGTGCAATACTACACCTGGCCTTTATTATTATTACTATTACTATTATTGTTATTATTGTTATTATTATTATTATTATTATCATCCAAATCTCAGATCTCTAATAGACAAGGGAGCAGTATCATCCGCAGTGACAGCTGGACCTGAAATCCTGAGCTGTCACAACAGGGTCTGCTGCCACAGACCTGATACCAACCTCCAGCACTGCTCTTCCTGAGGAACAGAAAACGAGACATGCTACCTCTGGACTATCCCAGCCGCTATCTACCCTGCAGATGCGCCCACCTTACAGGACATCTTTCACCATGGCAATGCTTTCTTCTAGCCAGTCTGCTACCTTCCAAGGGTAGCACATCTGTTGCCTGTTGGCAGGCAAGAGATGCCACCCTTGGCCGTTACCCCCTCCTCTGTACGCTACTTTGGGCCTCATCCCAGCTTTGCCCCACCGCTCCCCTCTTAGGCCACAGGCCCCTCGATTTTCTTTGCTTCGGCACCAGTCTGCTGTGAACTCAAGTAAAGCGACATCAACTTGACTGCTTCCTCACCGACCACCTTCTGGTGAACCTCAGACAAGCCACGCCTGCCTCCCAGCTCCAGTCTGCCCATCTGCTAGGGGTTTCAACTAAGTCTCTGCTGGCATATTAGCTCCAGGTCCTACAAATGAGGGTGGCTGGCATCAGTGGGCACCATTATAAACCAAAGCCAAAGTCAGAATAGCTGAGAAGAAAAGTATAGAACCTCAGGTACAGAGACAAGAAAGCCACGCCCAGTGAGTACAGCCCAGACGTGACTACAGCGTGGCCTGGCCGAGCGGGACGGAGGGCTCCGGTTTCTAAGCCCAGCACCACCTGCCCTCACAACACTGGCTCTAGCTTTGCTTCTGAAAACTGTGTGATTTGGGGCGAGTCAGACAGCTCCTCTAAGCCTGAGTTTCCTTATTTGACAAACCACAGAGGCCATGGGTGAGAATCAGATGAGAAAGTGCGTGTGAACCATTTGACACACCTTAAGAAGCACACACTCGAGGGGCCCAGGGCAGGCAGGTGAAGGCAGGCCCCTGCTCCGCTGAAGAGTATCTCCCAGTTTCCAAAGTGTTCAACTTTGGGGGGCAGCCAAATGCCAGGAGAAATCAAAGAGCCAAGTGCCTCCCTCCTCTCCATGACCCAGGCCTACACACTGCTACTGAGCTGGGAGCCAGACCCCAGACCCTGACCAATGAGTCTTCTCCCACGACAGGCTTCTGAGCAAAAAAAAAAAATCAATACACCATGTAAAACACACTGTAAGACAGCAAGCCAAAACCATCTCTTGGGTTTCACAGAAAAGCCAACAAGCTACATCTTCTTACTGAGTTTAACCCTTTCAGGTTTGGAATATTAACATGGGCACAAGACGTCTTTAGGAAGGGTAAGACCTCTGACCACAGCAGGGTGACTTTAACTCTGAAAGGAAAGAGCCACTCGGAACCAAGGCCAGAGAAGAAAGCAAATCCTCAGGGTCCAGAGCAATGCCATAGGCTGTGATTCAAACTACAGCCAATCAGTCTTCTCCCTTTCTAACTCCACTCCTAGCCACAGTTACTCTTCTACCCAGTCAGGTCCTAACTTTTCCTGACTTCGTCCCTCCACCAGCAGCAACCACCGAAACCTCAGTCCTCTCCCACCGGATCCAAACCACCAGCCACATCCCAACCGGGCCTCACTGGTGACTTCCATGACCCATGGATGACACTGCCACCCAACAAGCCTACATCCTGAGTCTCAGGGGACTGGGTGCTACATTTCCTTAATGATCCACAGGCTCTACCATCAACCTGGCTGTCTCAAGTCACATGACCCTCTATCCCACACTCAACTGAAGTCTATAGACTTGGTTGCTCCTCAGCCTCCTTCCAAAACATCATATAGTCATAGCACCTCAGCTACACTCCTATAAACATCCTGGGACCTGCCTCCCTGAACTCAACATCACCCTGTACACCTGGTCACCTACCACACTCCAAACATCTCTAAAATGCCTCTCCCTTGGCCAGAAACCAGTGTGACTTTCCTAAGGCTGCTTGGTGTTCATTCACTGAACAAAATGCATTTTAACACTGGGTACCAGAAGTTGCTCGGTGAATCGGAGATGGAGCAGTACCGAAAGGGGTGTGTGTACACGGACAAAGCAAGGTTACAGCAAGCACTGTCCACACACTGTGCGCCAGGCACTGTTCCCATCACCGTGAGTGCTAACAGCAGCCCCGTCAGTACTACTACTCTGAACCAAGTGAAGACTTGGTAACAATTCTGCAGGAATGTGCTTATGGCTTTACCTGCCGCACCTCATCCAAAAGCACGGCAACCCGGAGACGTAGGTCCTGGAAACACCCCCAATTCACAGAGGCCTCAGTCTTCACGGGGGGGACTCGTGCAGACAACACTAACAGTTACTTACGGGTTACTTTACGTTGGGTCAAGCGCTAAGCACTCTCCTTACTTTAGCTCACCGATTACTCACAACGCTCAGTTTAACAAGTCCCCACTTCTCGGATGCAGGAACTGAGGCTCAGAAAGGTGAAGCAACTTGCCCAAGGTCACAGAGTGAAAAAGCTTGTCTTCCCGGGAGTCGAACCCGGGTCTCTCCAACTCCAGCGCTCGCGCGACTTGACCAAGGTCACACGTGAGGCAGGAGCCAGCGCCCGGGTCGTGCATCCCGCGCGCTGGGCACCCCGACCCGCCGAGGAGCAGCCCGGAGCACCCGGCTGCTCCCCCG